AATATAGATAAAGCTTATACATCTTCGTATCTTTACAAAGAAGTTCGTACAAGAAAAATACATTTGCAACCAAGGGCTAAATCGTTGCATTTTTCTTTTCCACAAATAACCTTACTCAGCTGGTGCAGTAAAACATTAAAAACAAATAATTCAAGAAAACATCACTACTTAAAAATTTTGAAAAACATTAACAAAAATTAAATTACATTAACGTTATTAAATATGGTTACATCTTGCATACTGTTCGGCCGTTAAGCTTCCTGAAATTGTAAAATTTGAAGGTGAAATTAATCGACAAAACAGAGTTTCGAACTCGGGTCACAATATATATGCTGTCCCAAACGACGTACATCCGAACCACTGGAGCTTCTCAGTGAGTTCGAATCAGACGGACACAATAATTTCAATTTCTTTCAGATGTAAGAACACAGGGCGGATCCAATAGGGGAACGGGGGGGGGGGGCACGTGCCTCCTCGTTTTGCCACTAAATTTTTTAATATCAAGGCGTATATTGAAATTAGCGCTCTCACTTATCTATTTTGAATAAGTTGTGCCCCCCTCCCGTTTGAAAAATTCTGGATCCGCCCCTAAAACAGCACTAGATCATGACATATGACTTTCTGTGGTCAAACGTTATTACGCTTGTTAATAATGAAAAGTTGCAGGTTCATGTTCCACCACAATTTTTGTTTTCATACAATCGATAAAGGAAGAGAAATTGTTGTTTAAATTATAATGCTATATTAGGCTATATGTTTCTATGTTTTAATTTTAGATTTCGTTTTCTTCTCTGCAAAAATATTACATTTCAAAGGACTATTCCATATTTCAATCATACAAACAATATTCAGGTTTGATTCGCCTAAAAAATAACCTCACTGATTACACATCATCAAAAAGTAGTTGGAATTAACTGGAGATTAATTATCCATTACAGCTGTTCTCAGGGGGCTGGTGTGGCGTCCTGCGGGTGATAAATTACACAATACATCAGCAATCGTCTGCTAAATGTGACATTAGCTTGTTATATTGCTTCATGGTTCATAAACTGACATGAAGTTAGCCATGTTATTAGTATGCTGTAGAAATTTACTATAAGATGATTATTTCGTTCATTATAGGGGGTTATAGTACTTGGTGATATTGCCTATACCTTATTAATATTATTATTTATAAATATCTCCGTCCGTTTACTTGCAAGATTTGATAAATAATTATTTCGAATGTACCTATTCTAATTGATTGAAGATTTACTTGAGTGAACACTCGCGCCGTCCTATGGAATATCTGAATTAATCATAAGGTATATAATAATTATAATAATAGAGACATTGTTTAATTGTTAACATATTCAATCCAATAACAAGATCGAATTCATGGTTGTTATTATTTTCGTCTTGTACAAGTGATGCGGGATTGTTATTAATTATGTCGTGGTCGCGACGTGGTAGGCATTCTGAAAGAGTGTTGGAGCGGGCGTTCTTTGGCGATAGTATGTTTTTCAGCTTTGTTCACTATCATCATCGTTCCGCTTTCTCGCATTTTATTGGTTTTTTAGGTGAAAGGAACAAAATAAAACTCTCCGTCTTAGTGAGAATTTCTCCGATTAACAAGGTACGCAACTAAACTGATACCTAGTATATTGTGTGATAGATTTCCCATAGGCGTTATCCCCTGTCGAACTGATTACTTCACTTTCCTAATGCCAAAATTTGCAATCAACTCATATTACTCTAATTGCAACTGCCAAGATAAACCGAGTATGACAAACTTATGCTCCAACGCTATAAATATTAATATTTCAAGTTGTGTATTAGTTGATATATGTGACCCATCTTGTATACAGATGCCTATATGAATTGGGTCGTAGTTGTACAATTATACTGATAACTTCTCTATTCAGCACCATTGACTGTTCTTCAAGTAAAATTACGATTGTGGATAAAATTATAATAAGCTCACATTTTTACCATTCCTCATACTGGTGATACAGAGAGCATCTACTTTCTAATTTAAATGTATCTTCACATACATTACCGTATGAATTCTAAAACGAAATCCATTACCATTACGAATGTGGTTAAATATTCATGTTAAAACTGTTAATGTTGTACGTATGGAACTAAAAGGTTCTAAACCTTTCCATAATCATCGCTTTCACGTTAATGCTGTTTCGTGGTTTTTACATCGTAACCATCAAATATCAGGTTACAAAATCAAATAAAGCTATATAATTTCAACCTATAATAATAATAATAACAATAATAATAATAATAATAATAATAATATTATTATTATTATTATTATTATTGTTATTAATATTATTGTTATTATTGTTATTATTATTAATATTATTATTCAGAATGAAAACTTTTTATATTTTGAAGAATTATTATTAAATTATGTAAAAAATTAAAATCCAATTCGGCTTTGTTCAAACGAAGAGTAATCTTTTCATATTTCCTTAATAAAGAAACTGGTAATCTTCTTGAACTGAAATCCTTGATAATAGAACCAAATGGACGCAAATAAATTTGAAAATTTCCAAAATAGTAGTGTGCCTTATATCTCGTATACATACTCATAATTGATGTCAACATTTTTTGAATGTGCAAAAAATGTATATTTTTTTCAATATTCCATCTGCGCATTACTATGTCAAAGGTCAAGATGAAATGGCGAAGGTCAAGCCATGCAACAACTACTTAAACAACTTTCATACTATCGTCTGATTTATCTTTGTGTATTTTTACAATATAGGATTTCACTGAATACCTAACCAATCCTTAAAAACTGTGAATTATTATATAACTCAGACAATACAAAATATTCCTGCGCCTTATGATTTCTTTGTTTTTTTGTTGTTTTGTTTTTGTTTTTGTTTTTTTTATTAAGTTGAACTTTGACGTACTGTAGTGTACTGCGCAGTTGAAACTTCGATATTTTGTTACTTGTTACTTGTATAGGCCTATCCATTTTCCTTGCAGCCACTCCGCAAAAGTCAAACCCAAACAAAGTGTGCAAACTTAATAATGCGATAAAGCAGACTTAACTCGAAGCAAAACGGTTCGATAGAAAAGTAACAAACAAAACAATAAACAAATGAGATCTTAAAAGCAAGTTCAGGTTGAGCATTTGCAATACATTCCCTGTTGTTCTGTTATTCACTTCATTATCTTTTACTAATTACTTAATTTACATTTAGATGATCGAGGGCTTATACTTATACCCAACTAATCAGGGAAGATTGTTGCTCCCAAGAAATGATTATCGTTGGACAGCCAAGCGGAAAATGGAGTTAAGTTTACTTGAGTGAGACTGAACTTTGACCTCTAAAGCTCTGTCCACACTATGACAACACACTATGCCCCTATATAGTCATGATATGCCCATATATACTCATGATGTGCCTATATATGTTCATGATGTGATGTCATCATAGCCATAATTAGCCATGTCACATGTTTTTGTCAAATAAATAATCGTCTGGACAGGGTTTACACCGATATGTATCGTATGGCTTTACTAATGGCCTCGGTTTCTACATAATGTTTTGGTCAGCACGCAGTGGCGGATTCAGAAGAATAAAGGGGCCCCAGAGGGGGACTTTCAGAGATGGAGGATCTATAACTACCTCAGTCCCACCATGGTTGGGGCTGAGGTAAAATATTTATGATTATGGCACCTCTAGATGGCTGGAAATGGCATTCTGAGACTCTAAATTTGAACAGAATTTCCTTATCCGCCACTGGCACTGGAAGGTTGTTTAATTACATTGATATAATAGATAAACTGGAAAAAAAATAAATTAAAAATTTCAAGTTTTATCTTATGCATGGATTTACACAATATTAATTTTGTCATCATCATCATCATCATCATCATCATCAGTTCTGATGATGACATAATCAATGTCTAATTAATATTGAATCCAAATACGATGGCGTGCATTTCAATACTTTGTGTATGTAGGCCTATCATACTTTCTTATTTGAGATTAATCAGTGGACCTTCCGGTTTATACAATACGGTAATATGTTACTGTCTGCAGTGCGCCCTCAATTCGTGTATTTGTTGTCAGGCGCTTTTGCTGCAACAAAATGATTAAACATGTGACGTTATCGTATTCTCTAACGTATTTATCCAATGGTCTTTTCAATTAATAATATGATATTTACTTAATGATTAAGTACAGCAAATGCCGCCCATGATGTCTGCCTTATTGTTGGCACGGAATGGGGAAATTTAGCGTAGCCTAATCCCAGTTGTGAAAATTAAAATTAAAATTGAGAAATCCAGAAGAATTTCGTCTTCCCAGGATAATATTTAGTTTCCAGGGAACCATGAAACAAAATTCCTGAAGACTAAATGGCAATCCTGGAAACTTGGGAGATCTGTTAAACCAAACAGTTGCTTATTCTGATAATTATTATTTTATAACATTACCTACAAATTATTGGCCTAATGCCGTTGTTTCCATGACGAAACCACAAAATCTTACACCATTTTAAAACAAATCTTGACTAAACGACTATAAATTAATAATAACATATCATAAATACATAAAGAAAACAAAATGGATGCCAATTAGGCCAATTTTTTGGGGTGGTGTCATTGTTGTGGAGTGAATTAAAAAATATACAGGCCTGTAGGTCACAGGTTTTAAAACCATTACAAACTAATTTTTTTTTAAATTCTTTATAGTCAAACAAATAATCGGCTGTTATGTTAAACAAATGTGAGGCCTATATTGAAACGCTTGGCAGTTCTTTCTGTGTGTCACCCTTCTTTTGAGTGTATTCCCCAAAAAAAGATTGGTCTGTAGCTTTATCAGAAATTCAGTATTAAATTTGATAACACCCCTCCCCCCACTAAAATGGCAAGAAAAACAGGCTCTACATAGCCTAGTGTATATAGGCCATATAAGGAAGAGTAGAATTATTGATTATGTTCCATTAATGAGGGCGCACTTGTGAAGTTTACCCACACTTCACATTCTAAATACTCCATAAAGAGATAACATACAAATCGATTGCTCTTGGATGCTCTGTGACGTATGCGAGTGACCGCACGATATTTCACCTGCTTAGCGTAAAACTGACGCAGCAAGAGAACGGGTCCAGCAATTTTGCAACGGAATAACAACATAAAGACCAACCCAAAGTTTAAGCATTATCATAGTTTCATTTGGAAATTCTAGCTCGGTATGTACAAATACATTTTTTAAATTATTATAAATGCCATTTAATTTGTTGATAGTTCACCAGATCTGTCGGGCTGTCTGTAGGTCTAAAATTGTATCTGAAATAACATTTACCAAATGGTTTGGTTCTTTTTTACCAGTACCAGAATCATTAGGTATTTTGATATTTCACATAGGCCTATAATAATTACCTGTAGTAGAATTAATAAAATATTTTAAAAAATTAAACCAAACAAACATGGGTTTAAATAAGGTACATGTGCTTTATTACTAAAGTAAAAATCTTATGTTTTAATATTTAAACATGAGAACTAGTAATAATTGTCTGTGTAATTGAATTCGTACGTCTTTAACGTAGGTTTATGTTGATTATCAATTGAGAACTCGTTTACCGACGACCGTATGAATAATGCAGGACATTTTATGTCTCCCCATAAATCACAAGCTATGCTCAGACGAAATCCGTCACGATTTTAATATGTTGATGCACCGTGCCTCTTCAACGAGGCTTATTATAATATATAGCTGAAAAGGTCTTCTTATATAACATAAGGTAGACATATTCAATGTCCCGCACGAATCCGTCGTTGCTACCCGTTCCTGGTTGCAATATTGATCTTCATTGTCGGTTAAGTACTCAAGTTTATCTCGTCACCGTGGCCACAGTTTGTTTTCGCGTAACCTCTTTATAGACCTTCGGCAGTCCCCATTGTGTCGTATTACCCATAGCGTTCCCGTTGCTATGGTGGCGACGATCTGCATTAGAAATGCAATGGGAAGTGAGACGAATGATGAATGCGCTCCGATGTTCGTTGTTAACTCTAACAAGATACATCCCTTAAGTAATCCAATGTCGTACATGGTGTTGCTAATGCATGTCAAATAATTTCCTTTCTCGAAGAAAAGAAAGAGAATCTCAGCGTTGCTGTTGTTTCATATA